GGGAAACTACATAAATCATGTCTTCAACCGAAAACGCGTCTGCTAGAATTGGAAAGGGAATTCTTTATCATAAAACAGTCATATCAATCAAACGTCCGGAAGTTTCGTCCTTTATTAACCGACTGATCAAGAAGTAACGAATGTATTTTCTCGATTGATTAAGTACAGATTCTCTTAGTAAACAATAAATAATTTAATTTAATGAAAAGGTTTAAGCTTAAGTCTATTATACAGTAAGCACTGCCGCTTTAAAGCTGACGCAACATTATGTCTTACGCAAGGATTAGCTTCCTCGCATAGCAAGTTCAAATATTAACAATAAATTTTCGCTATAAGTACCAAATTTTAAGACCACGTGCTGTACGCAGAAATTTATTATTTCACCCTTTATTATTTCTCTCCATTTTTGGCTGGTAAAATATTTTGCTTAGAACTTCACAAAAAAATGATAAAAATGGTGCTAAAAGGATTAAATATTAAAAAGGGATATTTAAAACAATTACAATAATTTAGCATTTCTGGTTGATTTTTAAGAACAATTTTCACATTTTATGGTTATTTTTTCCGCAGTGTTTTCTTATAGAATATTGTTTCCTCTTTGATCGTTATTTAGGATTTGCTACAATCTTAGCTTATTTTATTTTATTTATTTATTTTTTTACGAGAGTTCGCAACAGCAGAGGTCATATCAACCCTCGGGGTGCCGGTGTTTTTGAAAAACAGCCCATTTGTAAGTATGTCGGGTTCGAATGCAGGACCGCTGGATTCAAACCCGAGACCTTTACCTTACAGTGATGAGCGCCGTGACAACGCCTAAACTGTTGCGGCCACCGGCCCAATCTTCGCTTATTCTGACCACATTTGTTTCTATATTGATATACTAATAGTATAATACAACCTTAAATGTTCAATAAGATGTGGTCAATATTAAATTGTAAACCTTTGTGAAATAAGCGTTTTAGTAGCGAGAACTTTGAAAAATAATATTTTTTTCAAAGTTGAAAAACTGACTATGGTGACTACTATTTCCAAATCTAGAGACCAGAAAATGTATTCAATTTAATCTCCTTTTTAGTGGTGCTATTGCTTTTTTAATTACTTTTTCAAAGATGAAGAAATGGATGAAGGAAAAGAAAAACCGTGGTTGAAGGATTAAGGTGGAAAGATTAGTAATAATAGATAAAAAAAAACTTATCTTAAATCTTTTATTCCGGAGAATAATAATACAATAATTCTTTAACCAAAGTGCAGTCGTGTTGGGAAATAAGTAACACTTGCGATATTTCGGTTTCGAACCCAAATTTTAAAAAAATTTAATAAATTCATTCAAAATTTCTTTAAGTTTTTTTTTAATTTTCCACCTTACCAATCCGTCAGCCACGGTTTTTCCTTTCCTCCATTAATTTCTTCCTTTTTGAAAAAAGTAATTAAAAAATAAATCACACCACTAAAAAGGATATTAAATGGAGTACGTTTTCTGAAATATCCTGGTCTCTAGGTTTGGGAATTGTCGTTTAGAATCACCATAGTAAGTTTTTCAACTTTGAAAAAAAAAATTTCAAAGTTCTCGCTACTAAAACACTTATTTCGTGAATGTTTACAAGCTTAGTATTGATCACATCTTATTGGAAATTAAACGTAGTTTACAAAGGTATCAACGGATTTGTCCAAAACCTTTTAGTTTTGGAGTTATCATTGTTTATTTGAAGCAAGGTCGTGAAATCTTAAAAAATCGGAAAAAGTGGAATAACTCTGAAACTGCTGACATTCGGACCATAGTTACGACTTTTTGGTTCCATTTTGAATTTAGAATCTACGGGCAAAGTTTGTAATACCAGTAGCCGAACACCCTGTATATACATACTTTTACGTAAAGCTTGACGTAAAGTGGGGCACATATGCCTTATCTAATTTTAAATGCGTAGCGTCTATTGAAAATTTTCTGTAAAAACGCAAATATTTGCAAAATTTCAAGTTTGGCTATTTAAGCGATAAGGAACACGACATTACTCGTTTTATCACGAAGTAAGAAGAAATAATGTAATGACGTTGTTTCAAAAGCTGCATTTTATAATGTCGTTCAAAAGGGTGACAGTAACTATTGTCAAAAAAATATGTATACAAAGTAATTATTTGCTGGAAACATATTTTCTTTAGCTGTGTTGACAATACGTTATCAATTTATACATACATTACAGGATGTCGTGCAAAAGAGTGCTTTCGTCCAAATACTCACGCAAAAAACATATTTTCATAATATATCCTTTTCGTGAAACTTGATGTTCTGTTATATAAAGCCATAAATAGTCAATTTCTGGTCCATGATACGATTTTGAGATAAGCTCTTTACCAAGATCATTTCAATGGGACATCAATATCATGTGATATCGACATGTCGAATTTCTGCGCTATGAAACCTGCCCTTTTCGAAGATAATCTCAAATGAATATCAATACAAAGAGACAAAATATCTAAATGACGTTTCTCACTGTTCGTAGATACCATATTGCAATGGACGCAAAGAAACTATAAATATTAATAAAAATGTAATGTCGAACGCTTCTTTTTTTATTTATTATTTCTATTGCTTCCGAACATCCGCCAAATTGTCAAATATAAAAAAGTTACGTCATTGCAGGAATTCATAAAAATTATTAACATTTTTTAGCAGAAATTAATTACGAATCTAACATAACATTGAGTGTATTGAGTATCACATTGGCAAAAAATAAAATAATTATGCATCATGATATTCTTCACTTACTTAATATTTTTTACTTGTTTTTTTCGATAATTAACCAAATTAGAAAACTTTCAAGGCAAATACTTTTTTATCCTAAAATCTTTCATACTATGAGGGTTTTTATAATTTCACTATGTCACAAATAGACAATTTCGGAACATATATGAGTCACTACGTTATTTTTTGTGATAACCATTGGGAAAATTCGTAATAAAAAAACTATCACTAGGAATTATTTTAACAATCCAACTTCTAAATAATTAGACGAATTCTAAATTATAAAGTTTCATCAAAGTGTTTTTGTTTATAATCATATTGAGTCAAATTAAGACACTATGTGTAATATTTCAGGTTGGGGTTTATTTTGTGATAGTTTACTGCCATTTACACCATTTGAAATCATCACACTAACACAAAAATAAATTAGAATTAAGCATTTCATTTCTTCTTAATTTTAAAACAACCAGAAAACTGATTGTTAAGTAAAACTTTACAATTAATTAAGGTTTTTAGTTGAGATGAAAAAAAGTTAATGGTACGAGAGGGATTCGAACCCACGACCTTCGGCTAGATACGCCGCTGGTCTACCACCTGAGCCATCGTGACCTCGATCCACTCGGACATCAACTCCCTATCGCAACCCCACCTTATGAGTTTTTCCTCCTTTTGCCATTTTCAAATGTCGTGTAATCGGTTTGGATTCTCGATGACAATTGAAATGGCGACGGAGAGCTTTAGTGAAATGTACTTCATTTTAATTCATTAAATTCACTAATTTCGTGGTCCGCTTGACCAATTAATTAAGGTTTTTAGTTGAGATGAAAAAAAGTTAATGGTACGAGAGGGATTCGAACCCACGACGATAGCTAAGGTGGTAAAGCAGCGGCGTATCTAGCCGAAGGTCGTGGGTTCGAATCCCTCTCGTGCAATTAACTTTTTTTCATCTCAACTAAAAACCTTAATTAATTGTAAAGAATTAGTTGGTCAAGCGGACCACGAAATTAGTGAAGTTAAGTAAAACCCTTTCTTAAGATGTTTTTTGCCCTCACAGACACATTAATAAGCAAATATGAAATAATAATTCATTAGCGTTATTTATGATTATCCTAAAACTTCCAAGTCATATATAATTTTTATGGGATCATCGCTTGGTCAATGAAATCGGTGTGGTTTTTTCTGATAGACAAACTTAAACAATCTGAAAATTGTAAATAGTAAAATCGTTTTACAAGATGGCTTTTGTGATAACCTCACAGTCACACAAATAAGCAAATTTGAAATGCTAATTTATTAAAGTTTTTTTATTGATTATCGTACAAATTCCAATTCGTAAAATTTCTCATTAAACTTTATTTTCGAGCCACAATCACTTTGTCAAGTCATCAGGAAACTTTGAGATAATGAAATCTGTAATGTTTTTTTGTGATAAACATACTGTCAACTATCTGGAAATTGTAAATAGTAAAATCCTTTTCTAAGATGTTTTTTGTGACAACAGCTCAGTACACAAATGAGCAAATATGAAATAATAAGATTAAGAATAAGAATAATTCGTTATGAGTTTTTTATGATTATCATACAAATTCCAAAGTCACATACATAGTTTTATTTTTTATAATACTTTTTTTCTGGGATCATCGACTTGTCACATAAGCAGGAAACTTGGTCATACTTTGTGATAAAGAAACTTAAGCAATCTGAAAATTGTTAATATGTTTTTGTGACATCACAAATAAGAAAATATGGAATAATAATGAGACTAAGAATAATAAGAGTAATTCGTTATGAGTTAATGATTATTAAACAAATTCCAAATCATAAAATTTTATTTTTCACTAAACTTTTTTTTATGTGTAATCTTTTTCTTTATTAATTCACATAACCAGGCAACTTCGAAATAATGAAATTGGTCAGTTTTTGTGATAACCAGATTGTCAAAAAATTCCCTTTTGACAGATAAAAAATACAAAACCACACTACTGTTTTTAAAGTTGTTTCACAACCAGACCAATCCGAAATCTTTATATTTAGTCTTCACAATGTTGCACAAACAGATTTCATAGTATAATTTCTTAATAAGAATTTTTTGTTTGTAATAATATTATTAAAATTTACTAATTGGAAATCATGAAATTTTTAATTGTGTATTCAAAATATGCCATTTAAGCGTTTTGTAATACGAAATCAAACAAATAAACAATTACAATATTATTAAGAAAATAGGACGAATGAAACGTGGAATAGATAAAATACTCACTTGGGACTTCCTGTTCTTGAGGTCCTTTGGCGTGCGGGGTTGCTTTGTGGTGATGTTTGTGATGACGTCTGTGTCTTTTCTTTCCCGGCAGATGGACGCCGACGTATATGGAATGAGCACGGTGCCCTTAAAAAAAAAACAAAAAAAAACAAATCTGTCATAAACTTTCTTACAATTCACGTTATCACACGATACATTTTTGGTACAAAAGGATGTTTTCACCGTCTGACCCGTGTTAGATTGAAACATGTCACGGATACTTCGAATCGATAGTCGCATTGAACCTGTCAACAGAACTGCCCATGCCGTGCTTGTGTATCGTCTACGGGCGACTCATGCCTCGAAAATGCGTACCTCGCACATCTGACCTTTAAACTGGCCCAACAAACTACCATCCACGACTACCACCAGTATCGAGAAATTCAATTTACTACTGAATCGGATTGTGAACGGCCAGAACACTTTTTAAGTTGAAGTATTGAACTTTCTTCCTGCATATATAACAAAGGTTCACTGGGAAAAAACTATGAGCAAGTGCAATAACGAAAAAACAAAACTTAACAAATCTCTCCTCAAATTATTTTTACTTTATATATAAAACCATTTTTAAAACAAATTGCCTACTCTTTTCCAAAGTTAGAAACCTTTATTTATTTATTTGTACATAGTCCAGACAGGGTACGTTCTCAAAATAGGACAGTAGGAAATAAAATAATTAAACTACAATTTAAAACTAGGCATAAAAGTAAATTTAAAGTAATTATAGACAGTGTATATAAATGATCAACTTGGTCTGCTGAATGAGTTAGCCAACAATAAATTAGTCGTTTATACACATTGTGACTGTAAAATAATGGATGGCTAATATCTGATGAGTCATTGAGGAAATTAACTAGGGGAGGAATACAAGCGGAAGACCCATAACTAGTTCTATAAAAAGGCACTTGAAGGAGAATAAAGTTTTAAGTTCCGATTAGAAACATTCAAATGAAAGGAGGAGACAAAATTAGGAGCATTATTACGCCAATAAGAACTCTACAGGAAAACGTGAGCGAACCAGCAACCCTACGCAGGTTTAGAGTATCCAGCCCAACAATTTTAAGTTGATCGCAGTAAGAGAAGTCTCCCACCTGAAGATAGCCAGATTCGAACATTAAAAATTGCACCGCTTTTTACGTTACCCTCTCTTATGTCTATCGACATCACATTTATTGACAGGTAAAAACAGCACTGGCACACTCCAAATGGCTTGTAACAAAGGACTGATAGTCTGATTGGGAAGATACTGCTTCATTAGTTTTTAATATTAAACATTCAGGACCAATAATATATACACACGCTTTACAAAAGTATAGAAACATACTAAAATTCTATAATCGATGTACAAATTATGAAAAATAAAGATATTAAAAATATTGTTGATATATTTAGAATAGGCGTGCCAGATGTTATTAACCAAATTTAGAAAAATCCATGTTTAGTCAATTTAGTAAGGGTGGTAAGTGTACATAGCCCTTCGACGAAATTCAGACTGTAACAAATATAAAAAAGAATTATTTACTGTTAATTTCGTTTTTTAACTTCTTTTTGCCAAGCCTCCGCATTTCATGTTTTTGAACCTTCCTATTATAATTGAATTATCAAATATGTTAATAGTAAAATATTTGAGAAACTAAAGAGAAACTAAGCCTGGGAATATTTTTTTTCAACGCAGCTGGATTTAAAAACAGCATCTGCCCTATACCCTATGTGGGATAATGTAATCTTATCTCTCAAACTGTACATTTTTCGTTAAACATGCGGCCTTTCTGTTTCATTTATATAAAATTTAATCAGGTTTCTTATACCCGATTTATTTTAGAATCACTAAAACAATTTAGCCGAATGCATAGCAGCGTTTTTAAAGAACTGGGTCAAAATGAGACGAGAGCAGGTCTAGATTTCGGTGATCGATGAGTTGAATTATTCCCGTAATCATGCACCTACCACTTCCGGATTATACACAATTAGGGCTTCAATTAAGTCAAGTAATCTGCCATATTAGACTCTCGGCTTCCGTAATATTACTACAAGATTGGACCCTCACGATTTCATCGGAATCTTAATTAGTCATGAAAAATCTTATTTTTAATATAGGGTCAACCAAAAAAAGTGTCGATTCGAGAAAAAGGTGGACGAATGAAGGTTTGCAGATATTTTGAATTTGACCCAGGACGCAGTTTCGGTATGCTATACGCCAACTCAAACTTAAAAAAGTTCCTGGATTTGACATGTTAACTCCTCAAATCATCAAACACCTTCCCAAAAAATCCATAATATTCATTGTCCATATTAATTCAGTCCTACGCACAACCTATTTTCCTCTTCGTGCAAACATTCCGACATCCGTATGATTCCTAAACCCAATAAACGAACATCGGCCTACTTCCTACAGGCCTATTAGTCTCCTATCAATTCTAGAGCGGCTTATTTAAAAACATATCTTTCCAACCCTTGATTCTAAAGGTGGCCATTCACGATCGCTCCCAGCAGTCCAAACGGAGCGACGCCGTTCCAAAAACCACGTCAATGGCAAAACTGAACTGGCGTGCCGGGCTGCGCCGAATATTCGACCGGCCCAAACTCCATCGCGCCACTCCAAACATCTGCAGCGCGACGACGGCATGGCGCGTTCGTGAATGGGAAAACCTGGCGTAAACGGAGGAATATTGGAGCGCTGGCCTGGTCGTGAATGGGAAAACCCGCGTTTTTTTGGCGCAGTCTCCGTCTTTCTACCACTGAGCAAACATTCCGTCGTACATTCTCAAAAAGTCAAAAACGTTTATTCTTTATTGGCAATGACATCCAATCTTGATTTTATTGTTGAGGTGATTGAATTGTATAAAAGTTTACCATGTTTATGGAAACTGGTGGACAATGATTACTATGATAGAAATAAAAGAAATTCGGTCCTCGACCAGACTTTTCAAAACAAAGGATACAAATGCAACGAGAAATGCGGTATAGATAACCCCTAAGCGCTGAGCAGAAATCGTAGTAGAGAACTTAAGTTCTTCGTAGTTCATCCCTGTAGAAATCGTAGTGTGGCTGCCAACCTTTCATGTGGAGTGATGATTCTCTTGTGACTGTCTTTTGTTTTCTAAAAAAAGTTATCACATACCATTGGTTTGGATTCCGCAGCCGTGATGTAGCAGTCCAACAGTGCTATCGCGTTGAAGTTGTCATTACTGCCACTCTTGAATTGGGACAGTACTGTACAGGGTTTTCCTTGATGTGCTCCAGCCCTTTGATCGAGTTTGGCACCCGGGCTTGATGGTTTTGCTCAAGGACATCCATTCCTCTACAAACTACCTTATCCTGCGAAGCTTCCTCACTGACCGGTACTTCCGAGTCATTGAAGGGTAGGCGTCTTCCCCAAGCTATCTTCTCCACTCTGGTGTACACCCAGGGCATTTTTATGGGCCCCGTATTCTACCAGGTGTACACAGCTGACTTCGCATCCCATCTTCAAACCACCACCCTTTACCCTTCAAACCACCCTGACCTTTGCTGATGATACAGCGATCCTTCAGCCATCACACTACTGGAGACAAGATGTACAAAAAAAGATAAAATTTAAACCACAAAAATCCACTCAGATACTTTCAATCTCAGCAAAAAGATACCCCTCCAGTCTATTTCAACCAAGTACCCCTCCCAAGATGGACAAGGTACGGTATCGAGGACTACATATTGGCTAACGTCTAACGTCGAATTCAAACGACACGCACGATTGAAAGGACAAGAAGTTTTGAAACGGTACAGAGCGCTTCACGACTTCATGATAAACGCTCTAACTTACCTCTGACAAACAAAGACTGTTTTATAAAACCATTGTGAAGCCGATATGGACTTACCGCCTGGAAGTTTGGGGTACATCCAAACATTCCAATTTCCCCCTCTTCCAAAGAGCCTAATCCAAAATCCTCAGAAAAATTATAGGTTATGTAACCATCGATACTATCCATATAGACCTAAATATTCCTTTTGTCCAAGATGTATACGCTTCCGCAATTGCCAATTTCATACAACCTCCTAATCATCATAAACCAAAAGAAAAACTCTCATTCCGACGTATTCCCTCAAACCCTTCTCGCCGATTAAAAAACGATGGTCGAGAGATCTACTTTCCAGTGATAGTGACACTAACCTCGATTAAAAAGAGAACACTTAAACCTTATATGAGTATTGCCTGTGGGTAGTTTCTCAATCTTATTTATTTGATTGATTTATACACTCAGTGTTACTTAATACCGAATTGAGGGTAGTTATAATATACTGTAAATAAAAATAAAAACATTAAAAAAGAGTCCAAGCTTTATAGACAAAACTCCACACTTTAACGCAAAAATAGACGTTATCATTATATTTATTACAGAAACAAATGTATTACACATAACTTAGGTTTCTGTTAATTCTAAAGAAATTAAAGGACTTAAATTTGACCCGGTCACTTCGCTGATCATGTGTTGGAACTATTAGGACGTCAAATTTATTTATTATTATATTACTAATTTGTCGTACAATTTCTTTTTAATTAAAATTTGACTATTAATAAAACTCCAACGTTTGAATAGGTCTGTATTTGTAATTCTCGTAATGATCATATAATCGTCCTTTATGAAGATGAGGTTTCCTAACTGCCTCATCAGCCCTTTGTATGTTAGTTTAGGAACCACCTACGAGAAAATTAAATTTCTGACACAAACAGCAACATCCGTTTCAACTGTTAATTCACTTTTTGAAGAGCATAGCAACGAATATTTGAACTCCATTAATGTATTTATTTTCTTTAGACAGTGGATTTTTCTTTATTTAAATAACAGTCTAGGTCTAGCATAAATTATTCGTATAAATATTGCCCCTATTGGATAAACTTGAGCACATCGCCTAAAGATCCGCAGAATATGACAATAATTTTAATATATTCTATTGTCCCTGTTAAATTGGGCGGATGTTCAGTTAACTTCTGTCAATCAATAACAAGGACTCTCTTTTACACAACAAAATTCAATTAAAACAAAATTCAAATTAAAGAGGATTAACTGACAGCCAAGTAATGCTGATATGAAGAAAAAAGATTCACATACACGTCACATTTATACCAAGTATTGCAATTAATTTACATATTTAATTTGATTAAGAAATGACATTCGAACCTTTAACACAAATTGAAATTTTACGAGCATGACGTAACTATGTTAATGTTACAAGTTAATCCAACAGCCTAACCAAGATATACGTAGGGTGTTAATTAACCTGTTGGACTCTGTCGATTTTTTAAACAATTTTCTCTTAGTACAATCTATCATAAATGAGTGAATAATAGTTCGGAATGAGAGTGAGAATGTATGAAAAAATAAAACAAGAGGAAAAAGATATGTTGTGGTTACTGTTTCCAGAACTTCTACGCAGTGCAGGTTTTAGTATAATCCTCGCGCCCTGAGTCTTTATTTGAAACTTACAATTTTATTCCACGTCTTGTGCTACCCAAGGTAGATTAAATACAAAACAGTGTAGTCTGATATTCATTACCTCCATCAATGTTTCATTCTTTTAGATAAGGAACACCAAGGGCACAAAGTAGTTCTGGCCCTGACTGCCATATTGACGATTGGTCGAGTAGGAAAAGGACAAGGTGATAAGACTTGCGTTCCCAAAGGATTTAGTTCGAAGGACGGCAAATATTTGAACTCGTCCAATTGCGCTTGACTAGATTCCGAACCCTTTGTAATAAAGTCCACTAGTCACTGAACGGAAAAAGGAGTTAAATGATTTGCTTTCCAATATCTTCCTCTTCAGTTATTTTTTAAAAATTTTAATTAGAAAAGTGTTTAAAAAAGAAAAAAGTGTTAAAAAAGAAAGTTTTTTAATTTGATAGTTTGGCTTTTGTTCAAAATTACCTTGGAAATCCAGCTCTGTGTAGCCTTGCAAGTGAGTCTGCTGGGCTCCTGGATCCTTGGGAGCCTCGTCGTCTCCGGAGGATGTGTCCATGTTCCAAGGTCTGAAACAAAAATTTTTGTAAGTAAGTTTTCTATAAAATCAATCAGACATTTAACACTAAGAACAATTTAAAAATGTACACTTTCCTAGAAAACTAGCGAAAATATGAAGTGCTGACTACTGTGTTCTAAAGGCAACAGGAAGATGAACTGAATGAAGGATTTTGATGTCTAAGAAAACCGTAGGACTGTAGGAACAATCCATGTGTAAAAACAGTGATAATGGAGTCAAACATTATGGTAATATAGTAGAGTAATTGTCATAAGTAATAACTACAGTTCTGGTGGAATGCATGAAGGTACAGGGGTTTAGAGTCGATGAGAATGTATCTCCAGAGGTATTAAAACGTAAACGGAAAAGATGGCACTACCTTAATGATAGAATATGAACTACACCGAACTGCCCAAGCAATACATTTCAGTTGAATTAAACTTCCGGACTCGAATAAACAAAAGGGGTGGAAATGCTGGAAAACCTTATAAAGAAAGGTAAAATCTTATAATTCACTGACGTTTCAAAAAAAGGAAAGAACGCAGTAAAATGGTTTATTTATATGTATCAGATGTGCGATCAGAACGAGTCTAGTATGGATACTGTTCTTCACTGGATGATAATAAGGGATAGAATGAAAATCGTGCACACATAGCAAGCAGAAAGAATCTCTAGGGAGGTTCGAACGTTAACGGAAAGACAGAATCACCGCAATGAGAGTTATGGTTCTAAAGGATGGCATGAGCATGTTATTCGAGTTAAAATAAAAACTTCCATACTTCAGGAGCAAAAGGAAGTGTTGTTAATGAGGGAAGACTGATGCTACATCAATGGATCTGCAATGCAAGAAGGAACAGATAAAAGTATTCAATCCTAATGTAATTCATAGGTTCGCCGTCTCTTTCCAGCTCAGTTTTTCAGAATGTAGATAGCCAAGCAGCGCTAAATTCTGTTTATTTAGCACAACTCAAAGATAGCTATGAATTGCAAATAAAAGCAAGCAAAAAAGGAATAAAAACAGGTATCCTTAATTACATACCCGAAAATGAGAGAAATAGAGAAACCAGACGGCCTTGCAAATAAAGGAAGAGCTACCACACCACTGACAATACATACCATACATACTAAAGTCATTTTTGGAACCGAACAAAAAATGGAAAGCAATAAAAAGTGGAGATATCGTACTGGGCACAGATCTAAAAACAAGAGGTTTATTGTCAGGCCACTACAGAAACAATGATGTGAGTGGCGTCAATCAGATTCTGCGCTTAAATTTTAAATAATTGCTTTTATGTGGTACGACAATTATTGGCCTATTCGAGTTTGTAGGTACGAAGAACCTGTTTAGTAACGCAATTTTCTTAAAATTTTTAAATTGAAACAATCGGATCAAAATTGATCACCTTGGTCCGCTTATTCGCAGCTTTTTTCTCAACCACATTTTGGTATTCGTACTGCTCGATGAATGTATTACAAACCGACCAGAAAACGAAGTTAAAATAATATTGATGAGGGCAAGAATAAACATCACTATTCTGCACGTGAGATATAAAATGTAGAGGACGAAAATACCATGTCGACCCATGTAGAAGAGCAGTCTTTCTCTTTGCACCCTTGTAAACCGGCGCTTACAAGGCGATAAGTTGACAAGAGCGGCAGAAAACCTCCTTACGAATTATCGCCCCAGTATGCCATGTATCTTCTTTCAAAAAAACCAACCGACTTAAAAGAATCTATTTTAACAACAGCACAAAACATCTGGATAACCAGATTATCCTGTTTCAATTTCAAATGTGTGCTTCACTTTTTATTCCTAATAATCACAAGATAAATTTAGAACCCACGAAGGTACATGCTACTCAGACCAAAAATACCAACTTTAGTAAATCATAAAAGGAGTTAAAACACTACTGTCTTATAACGATAAACTTCATATTCAAATGAGATTGATTCTACAATCGATGAACTGTAATTTTCATGTTCTCATCCAGGAAATAGAGCCGACTTATTTATAATTTATAACGTGAGGTTTGATTATTTACAGTGAAAAACAATCACAAAGGTGAAGAAACGCTGCCTGTGTTTTGAGGAAAACATCAAGTTTGAGAAATGAACACTTTATTAAATAAGTAGATATAAATAAATTCAGATTTTAGAGAAGTACATAAGACAAAAAGAACTCATTACCACACGATATGTACAGTGAGACCAGAATGATCAAAAAGGATAAAAATTGTCAAGAACATTATTTTCTAAGTTCCCAATTAAATATATTTATACATCAAATGCAGGCATTTTTTTCCAAGTTCGACAAACTTCCTTTTATTTGAATTTTGCATAAAGTTAATTGATAATGTGGTGATTGAGATCACCTTCAGGGCTCAATAAAGATCGAAACGATGGTACGATAAAGAAAATGTTTTTCTGAAACCTACATCACACCAGACCGCATCTCACGATTTCTGAATAATTAATTGATAATACTGTACTTGTGGAAACGACAAGAATCTGTTAAATTTATATTTTTTCTCTTTATGGCATGACACAAACGTTTTATAATACAATTATGTTAACAATAATAACAAGAATAATTGAGTAATTAAGGGGCGTCGGTGACCGCAACGGTTTAGGCGTTGACACGCCGATCATCTCTGTAAGGTAATGGTCCCTGGTTTGAATCCGGCGACCCTGCATTCGAACCCGACATACTTACAAATGTTTTTTTTTTCATGTTTTTTTCAAAAACACCTATATCCTCTGCTGTTGCAAACCCTCGTAAAAAAATTAATTAAAAAAATAATCGTGCAATTAGCAAATGGGATTGAAAATTATCGATTATTTGATTGAGTTGATATGAGTTGTATCTATACATGGCGTTCTAAAATGGTGTTTCTACGAGAATTTGAGAACATTGATGCGGAAAGATAAAAAGGACTCTTACACCACACCAATAAATGAAAAGCGATCTCACTCTTAGAAAAACAGAAAGATATCGGTTTATGATACTTCGCCCTTTTATGTGGCGTTATAACAAAGGAGTGCTGTTCCTATTTCCATACCGAAAAAACTCCATTACTGGTTTCTTCAGCCTACTGAATGTCTTTCTAACGATTTTCTTTCGTGTATGATGTCTATATTTGAAAGAATAAACGACGTTTATCTTTTGAGAAGGGAAAAAAGTAAAGTTCATTGTAATTATTATCAATAATTCACTTGATTGTCATTACTGTAATTTTATTCTTCATCGGGTCTATATTGTACAGAAATTTCAGGCTTTTGATAGAATTTTTTTTTTGTATCTTTGACTTCTGTCTTCTATAATACATTCTGAGTAACACCAGACCAAACTAAGAGTTGTTAATCCCCATTTCAATATCTTGAACTTAAATTTGAGTTCAAATTCATAATATTAAGTACTGTTAGTTCTAATTTGAAAAAAATTCTTCATGATAAAAGGATGGAAAAATTATAATTAATTTAAAGTTTTACAAGAAAAATGTAATAGAAATGATGAAGATGAGAGTCCTACTTATAAATATATTGTTTACAACTATTCTGATTAAAAGCATTAAACGCTTACATATACTATAGTACAATAAGGTTAATACATCAATACGTTTAATAATTAATCACTTTCAATTAATTAAGAAATCACGTTTTTTCGCACGTTCATAATAAGGAAGTTTGTCATCAAAGTGCTGAACTTAAGCCGGACATTCAAATTGTTAGATAAATTTTTAGATTTCCTTTTAAGGTATGTGGGGTGATGAACATGTAGTTTGGTCGATTCCGACCACTTTTTGACTACCTACAAGACCAAGCACTGAAAATGGCGGAAAGCCAAAAACACGTCTGACAGAAAAAACCCCAGCAAGGATGGCACTACAAAATGATCGGAAACGACCAAACTGCAAGTTCCTCACCCCTCAAATTCAAAGAGATAATATCACCCAAAAGCGTATCCAAATAATCCAATATAATCTTCGATTACTTTCCACAAAAGACAAATGTTTTGACGACTACAATTTAATTATATCTAACTGAATAAAACTTAAATATTTATGAAATTATATTTCAAGATAGTGTGTTGGCCAGTTGTTATTTTTAGGTCACTGGTGGTTCATATTATAATGAACTATAAATAGAAATAATTAAACCTCTCTGTGCAGCATGATATATTTAATTGTTCTTAGTTCAGGATTTGAAAAATATTTAAATTCTGAGGACCGAAACATATCTCAGAGAAAACCATTATAGGAAATTATAAAGGTAGCACAATGTTAAAAAATGAAATTCCTCTTTAACATTAATAAAGAACTATATTTTGAGATTATTAAAAAATCCCTACTATGTATGAGAGTTAAGAATAGTTGATAATTAAAATTAAATATTTAACGATTTAAAAGAAAAGTTTAAGTTTGCGTGTTAGTTTAGTTTTCCAAACCTCTACCGAAGTTGATAAACCTCTATCCAATAGGTAATAATTAAAATTAAATATTTAACGATTTACAAGAAGAGTTTAAGTTTGTGTGTTAGTTTAATTTTCCAAACCTCTACCCCCAGGGGTTTTTAGAAAAAGAAGAAAAATTAATTTATTCTGGGGTAGAAGTGTCTCCTTAGATAATGCACTGGTTAAATTAAAAGTTAATAACATTTTGACACAAACATAAACCTTGTCGTGGCCGCCAACTTAATAACAATGGACTTATAAAAAAACAATGCCCAAAGGATTTAAAACTAAAATGAATTTTAGTTTTTACAACATTTTAAACTGCTTTATCTGTGTAAAATTTATCATTTATCTTTACTGCTTTATACATGATCTCATGAATCAAAACAATAAATTTTCCAGTCCATAAACACCAGATATTTTAAACAAAAGATCAATAAAAAAAGGCAATGAAAAGAGACTGTGACTGAACGCCATGGATCAAGGATGAACTGGAGAATGGGAAGGGTATAAAGAGCAAACTTTTTACCTTTCAATGACCCTAGGGCTCGCATTATCAT